CAACCCTTTTTTTTTTTTTTGGTGGCTGTCGTGCACAGTTGGTGCTGCAGTTTGCCGATTGTGCAAAATAAACTGACTTTCTGCTTCACAACCACTATTGTACGTTCAAAGAGTTAAATCCATTTACACGCCGGCTGGCGGTAATATTTTTTGGGTGATTAGTGCATTCCAGTGACCTAAACGTACAGTTTACAGCCAACGGCAAGCTGCAATTGACCGATTGTGCTAAATAAACTGACTTTCTGCTTCACAACTACTATTGTACGTTCAAAGAGTTAAATCCATATTACACGCGGGTGGCGGTAATATTTTTTGGGTGATTAGTGCATTCCAGTGACATAAACGTACAGTTTCCAGCCAACGGCAAGCTGCAATTGACCATTGTGCTAAATAAACTGACTTTCTGCTTCACAACCACTATTGTACGTTCAAAGAGTTAGAATCCATTTACACGCCGGGTGGCGGTAATATTTTTTTGGTGATTAGTGCATTCCAGTGACATAAACGTACAGTTTCCAGCCAACGGCAAGCTGCAATTGACCGATTGTGTACAATAAACTGACTTTCTGCTTCACAACCACTATTGTACGTTCAAAGAGTTAAATCCATATACACGCCGGGTGGCGGTAATATTTTTTGGGTGATTAGTGCATTCCAGTGACATAAACGTACAGTTTACAGCCAACGGCAAGCTGCAATTGACCGATTGTGCTAAATAAACTGACTTTCTGCTTCACAACCACTATTGTACGTTCAAAGAGTTAAATCCGGTTTTATTTTTGGGGTGCTTATTGAATTAAAGAGTATGTCAGACAACACGCAGAGGAGTGGCAGAGGAGGCAATGTTTCAGGAGCGAGCAGACGTGGCAGCAGAGGAAGGGGTCGAGGCAGCACTAGTCGCAGCCAGAGGCCAGTGCTCCCGGTGTCATCCAGCGGTCGTGTCTCCACCGACAACCCTGCCGTCATCGATTGGTTGACTCGGTCGTCTTCCTCTTCCCAGGTCACCTCTGACACCTACAGCCAACGGTCGGTGGGTACGTCAGACACAACCGTTAGTTGGCATGGCCCGGGAGCAAGCCCACTGAAATCACGTGTCCTCGACCTGCCCCTGTCCTTTGGTGTTCCCTCACCAAGCGAAGTATCGCATGCTGTGGGCTCAGCCCCACTGTACAGTGAGGAAGAGCTAACAGAGGGCGGTCAGGAACGGGGGGAGACATCCGCCTCTTCAGCAGCCAGGCGAAGAAGTACTGGCGAGGAGAGTGGCTCGGTAGCCGGTCTAGAGACAGGTCTGTCTCCTGACCCACACGCAGCCGAGGGGGCTAGTAGTGACGCGGAGACCCTAATTGATGATGATGAGGCTGATCGCACTTGGCAGCCTCGTCGTCATCAGGCTATTGCTTCCGCATCATCAGGAGAAGAGGGTGCCAGCTTGCCAGCGAGCAAAACAGTCGGTGGGTTGCCCAGGAGGCAGCAGGGTCGCAGCAGTGTCAGTGGAGCCAAACGGCCACGGAGTAGAGCACCAGCTCCACTGCAGCCTACCACCACGGCCAGTAGTGGTGCCGGTGTGCACGGAGGAAGTAGCAGTCAGCCAGTGAGGAGTAGCGGGGGCAAAGTTTCCTACTCGGCGGTGTGGCAATTTTTTCGTCAAGCCGCCCGAGGAAGTAAACGTAGCCGTATGTCGACTATGTGGCCAGAAAGTCAAGCGTGGCCAGGGGGCCAATGTTGGGACTACAGCGTTGCGTCAGCATATGCAGCGTCGCCATTTGGTGGCCTGGGAAAACCGTGATAAAGATACGGCGGTTCTGCCTGCCCCAGCCCCCGCTCCATCACCCGCTCCGTTACTTGCTCCGTCACCCGACGTCAATCGCCCTCTATCAGCCAGTCAAGGCTCCAACACCTCTGCTGAGGGGAGTTGTCGCTCGTTGGCATCTTCCGCTCGTTCAGATGCTCCTTCTCCTGCTACTCCTCTTCACGGATTCCGTCAGCAGTCTTTCTTGGAATCCGTTTCCAAGAGACAACAGTTTGCGAGCACGCACCCGACGGTGCAGAAGCTGAACGTCCTCCTGTCCAAGTTGCTGGTGCTGCAGTCCCTCCCTTTCCAAGTGGTGGACTCAGCACCTTTCCGAGAAATGATGGCTTGTGCCGAGCCGCGGTGGAGAGTGCCAAGCCGGCATTTCTTCGCCAAAAAGGCAGTGCCAGCCCTGCATTCACATGTAGAAGAGATGGTGGGCCAGTCTTTGAGCATGTCGGTCTCTGCCAAAGTGCACGGCAGCGCCGACGTGTGGAGCTGTAACTACGGTCAGGGACAGTACATGTCATTTACGGCCCACTGGGTGAACGTGGTGCCGGCACAGCCGCACCAGCAACTTGGACAGGTCACGCCGCTTTTGCCTCCACGTTTGCACGTCCTTGGTCCAGCAAAGATGTCCGCCTCTACCACCTCTTCTTCCGCCGTGTCCTCAGCCGCCACCCCCCCCGTGCCAAGTCCCATTACCCGACCGGCATATCACATGTGCAGGGCGCAACGGTGTCACGCTGTGCTGCACCTGGTATGCCTTGGCGAACGTAGTCACACAGGGGAGGAACTTCTGAGTGTAATGAACAGAGAAATCGACAGATGGCTGTCTCCGCGCAAACTGAAAATCGGAACCATGTTGACCGACAACGGAAAGAACATGGTGTCTGCTCTGCGTCAAGGAAGGTTGTGCCATGCGCCATGCATGGCTCACGTGTTCAATCTGGTTGTCAAGCGGTTCCTAAAATCCACCATCCCACTGCAAGACATCCTTAAAATGTCACGTAAACTTTGCATGCATTTCAGCCATTCCTACACCGCAAAGCACACCCTCCTTGAGCTGCAGCGGCAGAACGGAAATTCCACAGCATCGCCTGATCTGCGACGTTGCAACAAGGTGGAATTCAACCCTACATATGTTAGACCCGCCTTTACGAACAGCGAAAGGCCATCACCGATTTCCTGATGTTACAAGCGGATAAAGGTACTCCCCTGTGTAACTTCGATGTCAGCCATTGGCAGCTCATGCGTGACACCTGCCGCTTGCTCAGGCCCTTTGAGGAGGCCACGCTATTCGTGAGTCGGCAGGACTATGGGATGAACGACGTCATTCCTCTGTTGCACGTCCTGGAACAAATGCTGTTAACAATGGCTGGTCAGGGTGCGGTAGACGTGGCGCACAGATCTCAACGCCACATGACCCCTGTGGGGGCAGGACAGGAAGAAGAGGAGGAGGTAGAGGAGGACATTTGTGCTCAGGAATTATTGAGTGAAATGTGGGTGGTTTTTCCACTCAGCGGACAGGAGTGGAGGAGCAGGAGCATCTGGTAGAGGAAGAGGAGGAGGAGACAGAGGACCCAGACGCACCGTGGCAGTATGCTGTGGAGATGGAGGCAGGGAGTCCCTCGCATTCCTTGGCACAAATGGCCCATAGCATGCTCGGTTTGCTTGCGTAGCGACAGCCGAATAATAACCATCAGACAGAGGGATGACTTTTGGCTGTCCACCTTGTTGGACCCTCGCTACCGTTCAAAAATGGTGGCCTTTTTCACACCTGCTGAGAGGGAGGCCAAAATTACGTACTATAAAAACCACCTATGTAGTCAGTTGGTCTCTGCCTTTCTGCGCCAACGTCCATCCTCAGACACTGTGGGCCCTGTGCGCTCGCGTTCCGCTGCCATGGCAGCAGGGGAGGGGTGGGGTGGTAGAAGCAGTGGCAGCTCCACCAGCAGCGGCTGCCTCAGTCTGCAGTCGATGATGAGTAGCTTTCTTCACCAGCGCAGTGAGGAAACTACTAACCAGCCGCAGCAGCAGCAGCATCAGGTGGACCTGGAGCAGGACCTCAAACAACAGGCTTGGGCCTACTTGGACAGCACCCTGCCAACCGAGGTAGACAATCCCCTTGACTACTGGGCAACGAAACTTGACCTTTGGCCCCAACTAGCTGAATTTGCCCTTGAAAGGCTGTCATGCCCGGCCAGTAGCGTGGCATCGGAGCGCGTGTTTAGTGCGGCAGGAGGTATTGTAACTCCGCGGAGGACACGACTGTCCATCCAAAGTGTGGAGAGACTCACGTTTGTGAAAATGAATCAGGCGTGGATTAGTCTGGATTTCAAACCACCAGTTCCTGACACAACTGACTAAATCCGCCATGAATCATGCCACAAACATGTTATTATTTTTAACATAGGCCTCTGTATGGCCTTCAATTTAAGCTGCTTACGCTTCGCCACTCTGCCATGGGCCCCTGTACCGCCGCCTCCTCTTGCTGCTGCCAGGTCCAGAGTGTGTCATGGGTCCCTGTACGGCCTCCCATTGCTGCTGACTTCATCGCCAGACTCTGCCATGTGCCACTTTCAGGTCTCCTTACACTGTTGGTGGGTTCCATTTTGTGATAGGGTGCTGTATGGCCTTCCATTGCTGCTGCCTCCACCGCCACCCTGCGCCATGTGCCTCTGTCGTCTGCTCACGCTGCTGACGGCTTCCTGCTTTTTAACCGAGGCCTGTGTTTGGCTTCCGAATACTGCTGCATCCACCGCCAACCTTGCGCCATGTGTCTCTGTCGTCTGCTCACGGCTGCTGACGGCTTCCGCTTTTCAACCTAGGCCTGTGTATGGCTTCAGAATAATGCTGCCTACACCGCCACCCTGCGCCATGTGCCTCTGTCGTCTGCTCACGCTGCTGCCAGGTCCATACTGATTCATGGCCCCCTGTACCGGCTCCTCATGAACGTGGTTCAGCGGGGTTTGCATCACTTAACGGCAAACCGTTGACAAACGCTGTACCGCCTCCTCATGCTGCTGCCAGGTCCAGAGTGTGTCATGGGTCCCTATACGGCCTCCCCATTGCTGCTGTCTCCATCGCCACACTCTGCCATGTGCCACTTTCAGGTCTCCTCACACTGCTGGTGGGTTCCATTTTGTCATAGGGTGCTGTATGGCCTCCCATTGCTGCTGCCTCCCACCGCCACACTGTGGCTCCACACTCTGGTTTTGGCCCCGTGACTGCCCAAATGAGTGAAGTGTGCGGTGATTCTAAGATCGACGGCACTCATCTGCATGTCATACTGACTGACAGTATTATTTCTCTCCCCCAGCAGACTCCAAGGGCATTTAAATTAAAGGTACAGTGTTCTGCACTAATATAAAGGCTCTCTGAAGCCTAGAAACACCCCTTTTTATAAGTTAAATTCGCAGCGAATATATTCGGCTCGAATCGAATTTATTCCGCGAATTCGGCGAATCAGCCGAATCGAATTTTTGAATAATTCGCTCATCTCTTAGCGATCACATGTGCAATGTGTCAGTGAGTGATGACATCATCACCATCCCACAGCCTGCTCTTCTAGTGCCTGCTGGGCCTGCTGATCTGTGTCAGTGTTGGTGGTGGTGTGTTGTGTTGGATCTGTCACTGTGTGGGATCGCTCAGTTCCGGTGTTCTCTCTCTGTGTGTGGGCTGGGCTGCCTGCTGTCACAACATTTTACCTCCCCCCATTGCCTAGGGAATTTCAGCCTGGGATCTGTCAGAGTGTGGACCCATCATCCTCCCCCTCACTGCCACCGTCACCCTACCACTGCCAGTCACAGATATAGTTCCTCCCTGACATTGATCTTGTCTTTAATATTGGTGCTGGTGGCATCTTATGGCACTTATTTTTAATAATAAAAAAAAATGCAGCAGTTTTATTTTTTGTTGATTTAATATTATTTTCTACTTTTTTTTTAATTTAATTACATTTTTTTTTTGGGGGGGGGGGCTCAAGTAGCTGGTCTTGCCTAGGGCAGAAAATAGTCTAGCACCTGTCCTGCGTATACGTACTGTATATATGAGCGGTCTTCAAGTGGGTAATATGTGTACAGTGTCGGTTTCAATTTGTATCCCTACCCCAGGCAATTTCAACATTCAACCATAAAAGTTAAAGAACATTCAACCAATAGAGAAAATGGCCTAACACTGTAAGCTAAGAACATTTTACCAAAAGGGTGAATAATATGAGGGAGAACTCAGCATTGTGTACACAATCTATGGAGATTCCATCGGAAACATCTGAATGGGTGTTCAGCTGAGAAAACCTCCAGTGTGAAGGGAAACATTTAGCAGCATTTTTACTACCCCTGATAAATGTGATAACTTTCTGCTCAGGGCTCCTGGTTGTTAGGGAGCTAGCACCCGCCAGCATCCTAACAACTTTGTTGTTTCTTTTTCGTTAGAGGACACGTAGCAGCCTGGGATGAGTCAGTCTGGGAGTGAAGCAGTGCGTTCACCTCAGTACAAGCTGGGAGGTTCTTCCAGGGAGGACAACTTGTTAGCAAGGAAGAAGTCGTCCCAGAGTAAGGTCTGAAGGCAGTCACTAACCCACCATGCTAGCAGGCGAGGACAGTGTGAGTACTCCTACACCCCTTGGGGATAAGGGGAGAGGGCGGTCAGGTGCAATAACCAACTAGTCTTCATCCAGGACTGCTTAACTGCAAGCTCTTGGGACCTCCTTCCTCAGGGATACCCTCACAACAGCTGGCTGGAGAGGAGGATTCATCTGGGGTCTGAGGAGTTACACCAGAAATGACTATAGCATTCCTTAACAGAGATTGTTGCTATTTTTTTTTTCTCTTTTTGATAGTTCGATATGTTGTACATAGTTGCTAAGAAATGTATCCTCAATTGTCGCAGTTCCTTGAACATCCCATATACCCCTAGACCGGGTGTCGGCAACCCGCGGCTCCAGAGCCGCAAGCGGCTCTTTTTCACCTTTGCTGCGGCTCCGGAGCACACTGCCCACCAGGTGACAGACAATAGAGTTGCCATAACTCAGTGGTCGGCAAGCCGCGGCTCTTCTGTGTGCCGGGCGCCCGCTCCCCTCCCTCCTCTCGGGCGGCCGCCCCAAAAGTCAGGACTCTGCAGCTAGCCCAGCAATGGGCAAACTATGGCCCGGCGGACCTTTTAATCCGGCCCTCGCGAGCGTGGCAAACATTGGCTGTCAGGATGTAGGCGGGGCAGCGTGACGAACTCCTCTCCTCTCACAGTCCGCCCTGAAGACCGGAAACGGCGCGGGAACACGGTGAGAGGAACGCGCGGAGCAAAGGTAAGTGAATTGACACAATATGGGCAATGAATTACTATAGGGGGGGGATGAATTACTATAGGGGGGATGAATTACTATATGGGGGATGAATTACTATGGGGGATGAATTACTATATGGGGGATGAATTACTATGGGGGATGAATTACTATATGGGGGATGAATTACTATATGGGGGATGAATTACTATGGGGGATGAATTACTATATGGGGGATGAATTACTATATGAGGGATGAATTACTATGGGGATGAATTACTATGTGGGGGATGAATTACTATATGGGGGATGAATTACTATGGGGGATGAATTACTATAGGGGGGATGAATTACTATACGGGGGATGAATTACTATGGGGGATGAATTACTATATGGGGGATGAATTACTATGGGGGATGAATTACTATATGGGGGATGAATTACTATGGGGGATGAATTACTATATAGGGGATGAATTACTATGGGGGATGAATTACTATGGGGGGATGAATTACTATATGGGGATGTATTTTCAGTTTTAAAAATGTGGCTCTCAAAATAAATTTCAATCGTGGTTTTGGCGAGATTTGGCTCAGTTGAAAAAAAAAAGGTTGCCCACCACTGACCTAAGCCTATGATTGTGATTATGACGATACACTGTGGCCCTGATTAACCCTTTGCTTACTGGGCCCTTAAACCCCCTTCATGACCAGAGCGCTTTTTTCAATATATGCAGTGTCAGATTTGTTTTAAATGTTGCAATGGTTTTGCGGCTTCCCAGTCTTTTTTTCCCTTCGGAAACGGGTCCAAGTGGCTCTTTATGTCTTAAAGGTTGCAGACCCCTGCCCTAGACCTAATCTAAGCTGTTAACCCCTTAATAAAAACAACTAATAACCAGCTCATGGACTGTTTACTGACTCTGAGGGTACAAGTGTGGAACTGCACTGCACCTATTGTTTATCTTTTTGGAACCCAATCATTTGACTCCTTCCAAATGACACCTCCTGGTCATTGCAATGTAGACAATGGTGCTAAGTAATTTGTATGGAATTTGTTAATGATAACAAGAAATGCAGTAAAATAGATTTCCCATAGCCACCAACAATATATATTTCCAGCAGTAATAGACCCCCCCAGCGACAATAGATTACCCGCAGCAACAGACCCCCCACAACAAACTACTCCATAGCAACAATATACCCCAAAACAGCAACAATGGATCAGCCAGCATCAGTAGACCGTCTAGCAGTCATCAACAGTACACCCTTCTGTAACAGTAGATACCTTCCATCAACAATAGACCCTCCAGCAACATAAGACCAACCCCAGCAACAATAGATTCCCCACCAGCAACAACAGACCTTCCCAGCACAATAGATCCCCTCTAGTAAAAATAGATCCCCAGCAGCCAGTATCAATGGACTCTCCAGAACAACAGAGCATCCCTTGCCATTACATAATTTCAGTGCTGAAGGTGCCGCAACTCTTCCCCCGTGTTCTTGCTGAAAAAAGGTTGTGCTTTTGCGGGATGATGAGACATTTGCGTTGCGTCCCCAGTGTGGGGACGGGTTGTCATATCAGTGAGACTATACACAGGTTTAAGGTTTGACATAGAAGGATACTCCCTTGAAACACATTATCACCCCTTCTGATTTACGTACGGTGGTGTTGGATGCTGCATGTGGCTGACAACTGGCTATGTTACTGAGCGGTCCCTCCAGGTTGGCATTGGGGTTGTGAGCCGCCACCGGTGTGTACGGCCTCACTGATGTGAAATCCCGATCTCTACACTTCCTGCTGATGTACAGGTACCTACAGTAGATGTAAGTGTGCTTTTTTATCATTTTTAATGAAATGCTATTGTGAATTTTAATTGGAAACCCACTGACAGCTGATGAGGGGTCATCGGTTGTTAAACCATTTCAATACCGTGCAATTTTACACCTTCCTGCCCAGACCATTTTTCAGGCTTCAGCGCTCTCACACTTTGAATGACAATTGCGCGGTCATACAACACTGTACCCAAATTAAAATTTTATCATTTTCTTCACACAACGAGAGCTTTCTTTTGGTGGTATTTAATCACCACTGGGGTTTTTTATTTTTTGCTAAATTAACAAAAAAAGACCCAAAATTTTGAAAAAAAACATGTTTTTCTTTGTTTCTGTTATAAAAGTTTACAAATAAATAATTGTTCTTCATAAATTTAGGCCGAGATGTATTCTGCCTACATGTCTTGGTGAAAATAACCCAAATTAGGATGTGTTATTTAGTCTGTAGGAAAAGTTATAGAGTTCACAAACTATGGTATAGATCTGATTATTGATCAATCCTGAAGTACTGACAGCCAATCTAATTTCTTGAGGTCCAAGAATGTCAGAACAGGACAGATATCCCCCAAATGACCCCTTTTTGCAGAGTAGACAGTCCAACGTACTTCATAAGAGGAATGGTAAGTTTTTTGAAGTTGTATTTTTTTTGTCATAATTTTTCGGAAAATTAAAAAATTAAAAAAAATTATTTTCACTATTTTTTTTTTACATACTGTCACCAGTGCAGTACAGCGTCATCATATAACTGGCATGGCGGTGATCAGGGACACTGACTGGTGACAGTATGAAAAAAAAAAAAAAAAAAAAAAAAATTATTTTTAATTTTTTATTACATTTTTTTTATTTTTTTTTAAGATTTTTTTTTCATATTTTACTATGACCAAAGCAGTACAGTGTTACCATAGTAACATTGTACTACTTTGGGGAAGTGGTCAGTATTTTTTTTTTTTTTATTTTTTTTACACAATTTGCCTATAGCAAAGAATTACTTTGCTATAAGCAAGCATTTACCTGAATGAAATCGATTCATTCAGGTTTTTTTTTTTTTTGTGCTTAGCTGTGATTTGGTCACAGCTAATCACATGACATGTGCATGTGATTAGCTGTGACCATTCACAGCTAGGCAGTAGTACACAATGGATGGCATGAATGAAGCCATCCATTGTATACAACTGTCATGTGACCTGCTGTGATTGGTCACAGCAGGTCACATGGTACCAGCAACGGGGGCCGGTACTCAGATCTGTCATCGGCCGTGT